ACCACAAATCAGTCGACACAAGATACATTTGGACGTTTTAGCTCAGCACAATAAAGATGACTGACGAAAGCCCTCAGAGGGAAATGGATGTGAAGCCCGAGGTCTCTTTTTGGACGAAAGTGAAGAAAACGTTTTCCAATAAAGTCCATCCTGGTCAAAGAAGTCCAAATTACAAAAAAAGAGACTTTCTCAGCGAACTTCTGTGGGAAGTAATTGAAAAGGCTGCGGATGGACCAACTCTGCATCTTGTCCGACACACCTTTGAGGAACAACATAGCAAAATTTTGATCTTGCTTTTAAGAAAAACTGGAGATATAAATGTGGACATACTCTCGAAGGTGTCAGAAGAGCTCGGTGAAAGGATTTTCCAGAGTATTGCGAGAGATGCATTCCACTTTGCCAGTGGACTGCATTTAATCGCACTGCTCGATTACCCAGAAGGACACGAAGTTATTGTGGAAAAATTCAAAAAGCACCTGGAGAATCCTGTTCGTTCAAAGAAGATGTTAACATCTACAAAAAGAAAGATCCAAAAGACTTTGTTTCCTACTGAGGACTTGTACGCAGATGAAAACTGCCTGAGTGAAGATTATACTCAGGCAACCATGGATTCTGAACAATTTTTGAGGGACGCAAACAGGATGGGTTTCAGGCGTGGAACAGAGGACGAAAGGAGAGTTATGGTGCAAAAGATCCTATGGAGATTGATTAACAAGTCCAGTAACATATCTAGCTATGGGGCTTACAAACAGAAGCACACTGAACCTGTCCAGAGAAAGCTTGCTCCAAAAATCTGGAAAGAAGTCAAAGACATCGATTTTGTGTTTTTTGAGAAAATGGAGAAAAAACTCTGCCGAGATATCTTGCAGCTTCTCTGTGGCAATGAAGATGTGGTTAGAGAACTGCTCTTCAAGATGATCAAAAGTGACAACCCAATTGTGATTTACAAGGTTGTAGAGTGCTTTAGAAGAACCCTGGCACGACCGCGGAAAATCAATCTCCGAGACACCTTTCTTCAAAAGGCATGGGGGCTCATCAAAAAGGCTACGTGTTGTGGAGACGATTCAGACGAAGAAGAGAGGCAAGAACCCGCCAAGAGTGGACCAAATGTTGTGTTTAGTCCACACTTAGCTGGGCCTCTAAATTTGGTCAACTCAGAGGTCGGTACTGACTCGGACGAGTCAAGGTCTGTCTCCGAGTCAGGACCTGCCTCAGAGTCAGAACAGACCTCTGAGACGGGACATGCCTCAGAGTCAGAACAGACCTCTACAACGGGACCTTCCTCAGAGTCAGGACCTGCCTCAGAGTCAGGACCCGTCTCTGAGACGGGACCTGCCTCAGAGTCAGAACAGACCTCTGCGACAGGAACTGCCTCAGAGTCTGGACCTGCCTCAGAGTCAGGACAGACCTCTGAGACTGGACCTACTTCAGAGTCAGGACCTGCCTCAGAGTCAGGACAGACCTCTGAGACTGGACCTACTTCAGAGTCAGGACCTGCCTCAGAGTCAGGACAGACCTCTGAGACTGGACCTACTTC